TCAAAAGACGGTGATGGAATATTAGGAGTCCATCAGAGTCGCGCGGGCGAGCATGTTGCATGTTTCTTGTCAGCGCGCAAAGCAAACGCGCTCGCTCGTACGTAACATGCTCGCCCGCGCGACAATCCTAAGGGATTATGGTAGCAGTCCAGTGGCGGGTCCAGGAGAGGGGGCCCGGGGGCCCGCCCCCCGTTATTTTTAGAACAAAATGAGGCCCGAGGGGCCGAAAAAATTTTTTTGAGTCCGGGCCCCCCCGTTACCTCAGAGTCTGGATGCCCCCCCGCCCCCCCTCCCATCTGAAGGTCTGGATCCGTCACTGCAGTCTAATAACAGAAGGTTCTGTTGGTGTCTGGCCGCCGTATTGGTTTCTTCAGGCTCGGCAGACAAATCCGCCTGCTCTACAATAAAACTCTAGAAATTAGTATTAAACATGAAAAAGAAAAATCGCATAGTGGACCTGAATCTTGGCGAGATTTTTGGCATATATTATCTTCTTTCATCTTCCAGTTTCTGGACTTAATCCAATGAATGTTTTCCTTTTTCATTCGTCCCCAGGGCTTTTCCCTAAAAAAAATGCACTTTTCCCGCTCCTCCCCTTTTTTAGGGAAAAGCCCTAGGGACAAGGTTCTGCCAAGAATTTTTCATTATTTCAGTGAGTAGCCTGGGAACCTAATACCGTAAAATTCCACAAATAAGCCCCTCCATTATAAGCCCCTCCAAATATAAGCCCCCCCAAGCTCGTAACGCAAAAAACCCTCCGTTAAATCGCCCCTCCAAATATAAGCCCCCGGGGGCTTGTACTTGGAAAATTGCCCTCAAATACAAATTAAAACAAAGCAAAAATGGTAAATTTACTTCTAACTATAAGTTTAGCCCAATCGGTTTTGAAACGCAAATTTCCCTCCGTAGATAAGCCCCTCCAAAAATAAGCCCCTCAAACAGGCCCTTTAAAAAATATAAGCCTCGAGGCTTATTTTCGGAATTTTACGGTATCACAGGTAGACCATCCGAACTGTTCGAGGCATCTTGATGTCACATGCGAATGTGATCCATACATTTACTGCGCGTAAACGCCTCCTCTCCGCTTGATTCAAGTGATCGGTAGAAATGCTTCTTGAAACAGAATTTTGCACCCGTTTTGACTAGAAAAATGAAGAAAGGAAAGAAAAAAGAAAGATGACTTACCGTATGTTTTTGAAAACGCCACAACTTGGACGTACACTAGAACGCGACTAAAAACATACTTCAGAACTCTAGGGTAACGTAACTAAGACACAATCCATCTGTTACCTAGATACAATCTCTTAACGCATCCCAGTATAACAACAACCCAAATTTTACCAGTTCGGGAGTATGCCAGTTTTGGAAGAAGCGAAAACAATGATCTACGTCACCAACCATAACATGATCACCATGGCGATGGTCATTTTCAAAACATACAAAATGGCGGACAAGGGAGAGGAGAGGAGAGAGTATCGACCAAAATTCTCGTTTATTCTTGCTTTATCGAGCCTTTTATTTGTCTTTTCGTTACTATGAATTGGGAAGTACCTTGAGGACAGGGAGTAACCATTCTTGCGCCATAGTTCTTCGCTTATCGCGCGCTTAGTAGGCACTGCGTACTCACTGCGTATGTAATCAGTACATCGAAAATAGGTAAGCACGCCAACAAGTTTGTGCCTATTTATTTCATTATTTTTTTATATCATAAGGAAAAAAGAACGCTTTGGAAACAACTAAAAAGTGAGTTGTTCTATAATTCATTTCCTTATGTTTGCTTTCACAGTAAGTGTTAATGTAATTTTTCCCGTTGCTTCTGTTTCTCTCCCGCGAGTGAGTGACTGGCCGGAGAAGACGGCTATAATTCAGGTTATTGTTTTGGTGCAAGCGAGTCATTTGTGAGTAAAATATCAGTTTTTTCGAATATGATGTTCTGTTGGTTTATGTCTTGAAGCGGTTCCGTCCAGGTATACAACAGGTTTACAAGGGATTTCTGAGGGTATTTGTGCCCTCGTTTTCTTCTTGAAAACCCACTAAGTGAAAATCTTACATACCATCCCTGATCATTTTTGTTTTTGTCCCGCTTCAAAAAAACCTATTACTTTCAATTATTCCACTTTCTGAAGTTCACTGATTATTTGGTCAAGCTTAACAAATGCAAGAGGCTCTTTAGAATTTAATAAACATATTGGAAAACTAAGAATTATGCTTGTTACATGCTTTTGGATCTATTGATTAAAATGGGACACTATAGTCTTGTAGTCCACCGGATTTGACCAGAGGTCAGAGATCAACAAGGTTATGATTTGTTATAAAATATCCTCTTGTATGGGATTTGATGTTACATTCGAATGATACTAAATTATTGTTTTTAACTCTGGAGTTGCCTTTAAACCAAAGGCATTGTAACTTTGAGGAGCACTTTTCTCCAAGTCTTCTCTGTGGGGACCCTCAAACAATTCTATTAGACAAGTTTTGGCCCAAAATAATAATGATTACTGCACTTGGCATGGACACAACATAAGTTTTCCAAAGTTCTTTTTCATAGCCGGTTCTTCATGTTTCTATTGAACAGCACTTTCAAGAAAACAAAGCTCACACAGAGTAAAGATTGTAATAAAAGTTATTTATTGTTACATTTTGTTTTTTGTAAATAAACATTTGATTTTAGGTCCTGACAGTTAATTCTTTCCGTATTACTGTTTTTGATTCTGACCTGCATGACTCGCTGCCATGGCTCGCTGGCTCGCATATTATACACACTCTTATATCTCAAAATCTTGTTTTTTTAACACCTTCTTGGACATGAAAACCAAAAACCAAAGCTTAATTGATATAATGAAGACAGTAGCAGCTGCCATAGGTTTTCAATAGTTATCTTGTGAGATTTCTCTCATGTATTATTTATTAGGGAGGATGATTTGTTGAAGACGATACATTAATATAGATGCTTTTTCACCAAGAGAATCTCAATAATTTAGGATTTATTCAAATACAAACATATTCAATACTATGACATAAAATGTGGGCTTATTGCTCATGCAAAGGTATTGATGGGGGAGAGTGTGGCATTTTTCCTGTTTTAGATTGACCTTAGCACAGCACAGGGACTGAACAAATTATGTATTTGGCATTTGTAAAGTACAAACAATATTTGACGCAAGGGATTGAACATTATGTGAAGAAAATCTTCACAAGCCTCCACTTCCATGACTCCTTCCTCATCTATCTCCTTTACAGCCCCTTGAATGAAGGGCCACAGTCTCTTCTATGGTTGAATGGTCATTGAGTGTGAGCTTCCACTCACAAGGTATATAAGCCCCCCTCCAACATGTTTCCCTCTTACCCATTTTTGAGAGGGAGGAGGGGCTTTTGTGGTGGTAGGTAAGCCTGTGACCACACTACAAAGAAACAAAAACACATGTTTGATTTTACTGAGGTAGGGTTGAATTTGGACATTAAATTTTTTATTACAGAGTAACATGAGGCGAATCTAAAGCAACATTTTGCCCTCAGAGCACAAATATGTCGTTCTGAAGCTATTTAACATTTGTCTTCCTCGTTCCTTTTCCCAGCTTTTTGGCACAAACGCGACAACATGTTTGTAATATGTCCAGATGTTTGTCTACATTTTGGACCGACATTCCTGACCAAAATATAAGAAATCAATATAAGAACCTACTCACACTGATTTAAAACTCATTCCACACACATGATCTGGATCAATAAAGTGATTCCTAGATCAGAGTCGCATACATTGCCGGTGAACACAACCAAAAACAGACTTGATCCCTTAATATAACTAAAAATACATAGACAGACTAAGGCATAACCATCAATATAGTAACCCTTCCTGTCCGTTGGCAATTTTCAATGTGTGGTTACCATTTTTACTAGGTTGTTACCATCGATGAAACTTTGCCTGAACACACCTTACACGTTGTAGTTTTGAGGAAAATTAGTCTTGATTTCGTAAAAATTCGGCAAGATACTGAAAACTAAACATAAAGACATGTACTTACATTCGATGCCCGTCAAGATGGCGGCGACGTCTTCGAACGCTGTTTGATAACTGTCGATTTTAACTACCGTAATGTGGCACGAAACTGCTCTTGACATTCAAAAAGCAAGGAAAAGGCTTCTTCATCAGCACTGCTAGCTCGGAAGTTCCGGATATTGAACGAGTGGACCTGGAACAGGCTTTGAAAAAAGCTCCCTTGTCTTTGGCGATTATTTTTTCCCATTTTGGCGTATTTTTAGCAGAACAATAGAATCATGACGTCATCGCTTCTTCCAAAACTGGCATACTCCCGAACTGTTTACTGCCAGTTTTTAATTTTAACGGTCAATCGTTGAAGTTGCCTGATGAGTGTGGTCCTACAATTTCGGACCATACGAAACAGCACTCAACATTTGGGATCAGAAGGTGCAAAATTCCGTGTTTTGTGAAGCATTTCTACCGATGTCGCGCGTAACATCATCGACATCACGCAACCTCATTCCCAGGTTCTCTCTTCTACCCGTCGGGAAGGATAGGAGAAAACCCTGAGAACGAGGTTAGTTCAGATGGTGTGCCTGTGCTGATATGAGCCCACGATCGAAGCCTTATCATAAATCGTCCAAGATGGCGGACGCTGTAGCTGATGACGATGTTACTTTACCAAGAGGTAATGTGAAAATGTTCTTTCTTTTTGAAACCTTTTCAGCACTCTAACTTCTTTGGATCGTACAAAAGATCTCTCTTTCCTTTTTTTTGTATATTTCATGGTAAAAAGGGGTTTGTTTGTCCGTTTTTGCCGGAAGTTTGTGTTAACTTTAACTTACAAGTAATTATAACCTTATTTTGTTTCTATAAACCCTTTGAATTATAAGTAATAAGCACATATAGTTTGACCTTTTTATGTTACAGCTAAGTTGTATCAAAAAATTTATTCAGGTCCACTGAGCCACGCAGCCACTGAATAATTGTTATGCTAAAATTATTGCACGAGAAAAAACCG